GTAGAATCATGCTGGTTTTTATTCTTAGTTCTCTTTTTAAATGGGGCATATCTCATTTTTGCATGAATGGAAGTGCCTTTTAGTTCGAATTCTTGCAGGCACAGGGGAGCAGGAGGGGGCCAGGCACATCTATGCTACCCATCTCCCCTCCAGGACGGTGGTCCCCAACCCCTCGCCCAGCAGCATCCCCACACTCTACCAAGCTGTGCCACCTCTCCCTGGGCAGGACCAAGCCCTGTAAGTAAAGCCGGGCTGTGCAGGGAGCCACGGGCACCCCATCCCACAGCCAGATGAACACAGAGCATCGTTCAGGAGAAGAGAAATCAGTACCTACCCTTTCGGCAGCTGGGCTTTGCCTGGCCCGGGCGGTGGCTAGTGGGAGGCCGACATGGACCATGCTCCTTCCATCCTCCATACGGAGAAGGCATAACTCAGCCTCTCGTGAGCCACGTAACTACAGCTCGTCATCTTACTGTCCATCTCGTCGCTCTGTAGCACCTGGTAGAGGAAGTCTATATATCGTGCTGCCAGCTTGAGGGTCTGGATTTTACTGAGTTTGTCAGAGGGCAAAGTGGGGATGATTTTCCTCAAGGCGGCAAAAGCTTCATTGAGCGATTGAGTCCTCTGCCTCTCTCTGACATTGGCCAGGATCCTCTGGCTCTGCAGTTCCTCATAAGACTGGGAGCTGGGACTGGACTTTTTCCCCCTCTTCCCTGGGTTAGGGCTGCCATCTTCGCTGGACTTCTTACTGTATCTTCTCTTCCTGCCAAATCTCTTTGGCTGTCTTTCCAGCTCCTCTTCACTGGTCCCCAAGCTATCCACAGGGGAAACAGGAGAACTGGAGCTTTCTTCCATGCTTTCTGCAAGAAGGGGAGGGGAAGAGACTTTCCCCCCCTCCTTTATGTTATGTGAGTGTGTGCGCGTGTGTGTCTTAAATGTGCTTTAAATTCCTGAGACGGATCCTTTGGAAAAACAGGAGGGCTTTTTGGTTTTGCTTTTTTTTTTTTTCCTTTTTTTTTTCCTTTTTTTTTCTTTTTTTTTTTTTTTTTTTTTTTGCTGACCAAACGTTTTCCAGGTTGCTTGAAGGGTTCTTATTTCAAGGACCAGGGTTGTGCAAAAAAACTTGAGGTCTTGGAGAGAGAGGAAGTTATTCTAACTTTTTGGAAACTTTAGCTGAGCTCAGTTGCTAAATAGTTGTCAGAAGTGAGGGAGGTGCAGGGCTCCCTTCTCATTGGCCAGCCAGCTCAGTGGGAGGAAAGCTTTTTCCCCTGCTAAACTTTCACAGTTTTATGTTACACTTCACTTCAAATCTTGGGAATGCACCTCGAATAAAAGATAGCTGGCGACCCCCCTCCCCCTTCCCCATAGATGTTGGGTTTGGGACACCCCTTTAGGGTAATAGCCCTACCAGGGGGTGTTTTGGGGTGCTGAGCACTTACAAGCTGCCTCTCGACCCGTGGGTCCCACTGCCAGCTCCGTAGCCAGGCTGCCCCGGTACCTTGTCCAAATCGGGGCGCAGGGCTTAGGAAGCCTCATCATGCCCAAGAGGATGCCCCATATTTTGTGAAACTGTGCTTATTTTTGCACTCCTGGTGCTGGGGAGGGTGTCTTGCAAAGCCGCCTTAAAGAGCTGCCCCTAACAGCACCCTGCTCCTCACTCCCTGCCCTGCAGAGATGGGGACCTGCGGGGTGAGCTCAGCGTGGCAGAAGTCCCCTGGGACATGCTGAGCTGTGGGAAGGATCGAGTTTTGAGCTCCTCTGTTTGTGGGGGAGCATGGAAAGACCCTCCTGGACTAGAACCCCATGGAGCCCCAAACACAGGTCAATGGGAGAGCAGCTAGTAGTTGGTAGCGAGCCTGATGGAGAGTACACCACGGCTACGCAGCTGATCTTTTTCTCCCTGCTTTTTTTCACCTCCTGTCAAACACTAACCAGTACTTTTGGGGGAAGGAAGAGCAGAGGTAGGTAGGTAGGATGCCCTTTCCTCCAGAATATCCTGCTGTTGAAATTGTATCCCAGCACATAAAACTCAGGGTAGCAGCTCCAGACTTTCTGATGTATCAAACAGAAGATGGCAGATCTTTTTTTTCCTCCCCATCACACCAGGGAAAATGTGGGAAAACTCTGCTTGCTTCTGTGAAGCTAAGGCAGAGCAAAATCGGTTTTAGACCTCTGATTTCAGTTAGAGCCCAAATTGCAGGAACAGATGCATTCCTGAGCAGCGAAGATCATGTTTTCAATAGGGAACAGGAAAATAAAGTAAAACAATAATAATAAAAATAAGGCAAAAGCAAACTCGTAAAATGTAGATGTTGTATCAGAAGAATTAGTTTGGAGCGGGTTTCTTTGCAAAGTTTTCCAGTAGGTATCAACACTCATTAATGGAAAAAATAATGTCTGGTTTGATTGGAAAGTGTTCCTTGGTAGGAGAAGGAATTTTTGGCTTGCCTGGGGCTGACTCCACTCCTGGTAGGTAATGTTTATAGTGGAAAGACTTCCCCAGGCAGCCCCTGGGGAGAGCCTGTGTTTGCTTTCAAAAGGAAAGGTTTTCAGGTGCAGCACAGAAGTCGGAAAGTGAGGCAGTTCTGCAAATAGACTTTTAATCCAATTTAAGACCCCAGCGACTTGGACCGGGTGCTTCTCCCACCCCAAAGCCAGGCTTCCAGAAGAGCTGGAGCCAAGGGTTGGTGACTACTTTACATCTGTGACCTGGAGGTCTATGAGTACAGGGGGCTGGGATGGCATTTATCAGCCCCATGGACCCAAAGCAGATGCCATCCTTGGCTGGGTTAAGGTAGTTTATACTGGAGAAACCTGAGGAATAGCCCCTTGCCTGTCCTCTATGTGAAATAAGCTGCTGTCAGTAGTGGTGCTGATGTGGAGCTGTGCCTCAGAACTAAACACCCTTCGTCAGGGGTATTTGATTTGTATTGGAGGTTCTCAGAAGCCTCCTCTTAGTGCATGAGGTCATTTGCAAGTAGCAAAAGGAGCCATCACCAAAGACCAGAGGGACACCTCTGCTTCCTAGCTGTAAAGAGCATGGTTTTCCCAGCAAACAGGTTCCTTCTGAACAGCACTGGCTCTTCCACATTTATGGTGGTAAACTGCTCTGGATTTGCAGGGATGCATGGAACAAGGGAGGGCAATTGGGTCATGGGGGTGAGCACCAAGAATATGCTGCCAAAGATGCTGTCTGTGTCTGCAAAAGGCTGCTTGGGGAGGGAGCAGGCTCCTTTGGGCTGTTGGAGAGTACCAGGAGCAAGGGGAGGAGACCTGAGCTTGCAAGAGCAGCAGAGCTGCTCATTGCTGCCTCTTGTCTCCCTATGCCCGGCTGATCATTCATGCTAATGCTTATTATGCCTCTTCCTTCTGCCCTGCCATGACTGCCAAACGCAGGACTTGATTTCCCAGGGAGTGAGGTGTTTCCATGGGTTGGGACTTAGTCCTTCCAGGAGTTGGAGACAGAGGGTTTTTGGGGCAGAGCATGTGGCTGTATTTCAGAACACCCAGTTCTCAGCTGATAAAGGCGTTTTGCCTTTGTGGTAACCACTGGTCCTATCCCATACAAGTACAGCCATGGATGAGTGCAGCTCAGCATCATGCTGAAGCCATGGAGGGTGCTGCCACTTGGTGCAGCTCTGGTCCAGCTGAGCTCTGGGTGCTCTTGGCCATGTCTCTCTGTGCTGCATGGTGCAGAGCAGGAGTAGGTTCCCATGGCAGAGCCAGCCCCTCACTCCTCTGCACACCGTAGTGATATCAACTAAATGAACAGCCCCGGCCCCCTGCCTGGCTTCTGTGAACAAGAGTGAGAGTGTTTGCACAACAAAGAGAAGCAGGATTTCTCCCTATGGGGACTGTTGCTGTGTGTAACCTCTAAATGTGCAAAGCTTTTTAGTATCAGACAGGCTTCATCGGGGAAATTTATGATGAAACTTGGCCGTGTCATAATTATGAAGTCTATAAGCCCAGCTCCAACAAACATCAGCTCCAGAGCTGCTGTATATGTGTGTATTCTTTATAGCCACCGAGTCCCCCAGCAGTACTTAGTGCCAGAGCTGAGTACAGTGTTGACAATACTGCAAATATCTTCCCTTGGAGCAGACCAAAGGCATGGTCTGTGTGTGCACAGACCCAAGTGAAATGTGATCTGGCTTTCCTGAAGGAAAAAGGGAGTTTTGGGAGGTTTGTGGGGGAGGCAGGCGGTATGAAGGTACTGCTGGCAAAGGATGGGCTGGATGTATCCTTCCACAGCAGGCTGGGAAAGAGGTTATGAAATTAAACTGCAACATGAAAAATCATTCTGGTGAAAGTTTTAATGCCCTGTTTAAATGTGACAGCCACTGTGATGTTGCTGCTGCTTTTCCACTGCACTATCAGGCTCCTAAAATTGCTTGTTAGAAAGGAACAATGAACAGAGGCTCTGCTTTGGGGGTAGCGCTTATTCTCCATAGGGAGCCTGTGGTCCAGTTGTCCCCTGGCACAGCTTGGCCAGAAAATCACCCTTCGGCCCCTCTGCACTGTGGAGGAGAAGGTTTGGATTTCTGCCTCCTGCCACCCCTTTCCTCTGCCCGCAGTAGGAAGTGGGGAAAGGTTGAGTGCTCTGGCAGCAAAGGTGATAGCATTTCAACATGCTGAGGCTGCTCCTGCAGCTCCCTCTGTCAAAGGGAGCTGTCAGGGGATGCATATCTTTGGAGCAAACTGAAAGAAGGAGGATACTGCCGACCTTACTGCTCTCCTCCTCCTCTCTACCTACTGCTACTGAGAAAAGCATCATTTATTCAAACAACCCAATTGCAAATAGCACCCAGTACTGAATGGCCTCTAGCATAGCCAGCTTTAATTAAGCTGATTATTTCATCCCTCCCTCCATTGCTTCAGTGTGATTTAGGTGATAATTCCTTAGTGCTTTTGCAGCCACCCCTGAATATCAACTTCCACATGCTGTCTTTGGGAAGGCAAAGTCGTATTTTGCCCTGCAGTTCTGCTTTGTGGGCTTTCCTTCCTTACTCCTTGCTTTATGCTGCAGCAGCAGCAGCCAGGTGCGGCAGGCGGATGTTTCCCAAAGCATTCACCCTGCAGTGACAAGTTTCTAATCAAAAGCAAAGGAGCAGCGAGTGAGCAGTGCAGATAAGAGGCAGGAGGTAAGGAGAGTGAGGCTTTAGGGATAAGACAGTTGGAGTGGAGCATGGTTTCAAAGTAATTGGATACGCCAGTGTCGGAGTTCTGTGCAGGAATGTACATCTGTTTCTGAACTGTTAC